AGTGAAACCCGGAGTTGAAACAGCAGCAGTAGAAACTGCAGCAGTGGAGACCACAGCGGTGGCAGCGGCGGCGGTGGGAACCGCAACAGTGGGAACTGCATTAGCAGCAGATGAACAAGCAGTGACAGGACGAGCGCGATGTGGGGATAAARAAGAAAGTGGGTGATGCAAGGACCATCGCAGCATGCGTCGGAACCACTGAGAGAGACGGGTGACATGTGTAGGATAGCGACGTTGGCGGGAGCGTGTGTAGCAGGTCCATCCTTTAGCGAGGGTTGGTGGGGAATGGCCACGAGAAAGCATGCGACGAGTGAGTGTTGTCACTGCAGTTCGGAAGTCCTGCCAATTATTGCAGATGCGTTGATATATATTTCCCAACCTGATATCCAGCGGGTGCAGCTCCCCACAAATAGGAAACAGGCATCAACAAGGCAAAGCGTTAATTGTGTGCATCAAAGACAAAGACATCCCAGAAGTCTGACGACAGAATTTCAAGATAACCATCACCAAACCTTTCTTGTCTTCTTCCAAAACAAAATTTGTGAAAGTTTCTAACACACCATGAGCAAACATTCTGCATGTCTCTCAAAACACCACGTATATCTCCCAACAAAGAAATGCCACAGACTATGGAAGAGATGGGAATCGGGGAGGGAGGGGACGAGAAAGTGCGAATCTTAGACAAAGGACACCAATGATATGACAATCGTCGAACAGAGAACAAGGATATCCAGGATGGAGAGGCATCCCCAAAAAAAGAGATGGAAACGAGACATACTCCAGTCTTTTTTTTTTTCGTTTTCCTTTTTCCTTTTTTTTTTTTAATCATATGAAGTGAAGCTGCTACAGAAACAAACACCATTGCTTCCATTCTCTCGTAACACGGTAATCGCTGGTCCTTAGAGGAGCGGACACCTTGGATCCACACAGTTCAAGCTTGTATGCACACAGTCCATTACATACATCATACATGCAAGAGCTCCCCAATTTGCTGACTTCGACCCGAATCCAACATTACTAATGACATGCTCACCAGCTTGAGTCGGTAGGGCTCCACCCCGCGGAACGTGCAACGATCCAAGTTCCTTGAACAGATATTCTTCTAGAGTCTAGCTGCAGAGCCGATCTGGGGACGGGCCGAAATGAGCCGCTGTAGATGTTGAAGCAGACCAGAATGATCACTCGCGTTGAAGGACCAATGTGACCGAAAGATAGTCCTCTTTTTTTGTTTTTGAACATCTGCTGGAAGGGCTGCCTGCCTGGGGTGATACGAGCAGCCCCTGATCGCATCCCCCTCCCCCCCACACACAAAAAAGGNTTTCGTAGTTCTCAGATTGTTCTTAGCTGAAATTCTCAGATTGTCTTAAAATTCTCCTGAACTCTTTTTGTAGTTCTCAGATTGTTCTTAGCCATATTCTCAGATTGTTCTTAGCCGATGCCAGGTAATGGCCCTGGTATTCCAAATCCTTTGTACCATTTTATATGGGACGCTGGGCCCGGTTCCCAGCACGTGTTGCTCCCCACGAATAGACTGGAGCATTTGCGCCCCGCCCCCTCCCCCTCCCCCCCCACACAAAAGATAGTCCTCACTCCTGAAGACTCAAGAGCTGAAAATGCGGTTCCTAGAGACCTCCGTCGAATAAATGAACCGCCCATTGAAAAATCAAGTGGACGAGTGACATGGCCACTGCGCTTATGTAATGGCCGCCAAACAGCACCGAGGCAACTTTCCTGCCGTCCTGATCAGGGCGTCGGTGGCCGAAATCATCCTCTTTCGTTCATGGTCCACGCAAATAAGTCCTGGAGGCTGCTAAGAAGACATCAGGATCCAGAGGGCTACAGTTGCATTCTACAGATTTGTGACGGTGAACTGAAGGTTTGACAGCCCTTCTCTGTGTCCATTGCTGCCAGGTACTGAGCGAGTATAGACATGCACGCACGAGAGTGGGCGCACACACCTACACACACACACACACACACACACACACACACACACACATACACACACACACACACACACACACACATGCAAACAAACATGCACACACAAATATGCATACACAAGAGAGATGCCCTAGCCGATCGTCTGACTATCATACTAACAAAACCTGTCTGGAAGAAGATAAGGAGCAGAACTGTTTTATAAATGATATCCAAGACTAGAAATCATTTACAAATGACAAAAGAGTCTTGTGACCAAGGCAGACGCCGGACGATCACACTCACTTTGCCATGTTCTGTTCCGAAAACAAAGCCAAAGCCAACACACTCTCATTCATAATTATAAATCAGCTCACTGTTTGGAAGAACTGAGTCAACTGACAATGCTTGCTCTTCCTCTTCCTCTTCCTCTTCCGCTAATCCGTTGCCGGCCAGAAAAATTGCAGGGGGGCTGGTGGTGGGGTACAAGAAAACATACCAGGGCTGCAGGAACGTTGAATGCCGATGCCCCTAATTGGAGAGCTCGTCCATGCAACACCTTTATGGAATCTCGCACAATTGTTGCCTAAGTTGATCCAGCACTTGCGAACTTGGCACTGGATAAGTGGTACGGCGGTACCTGATAAGGTGGCACTGGATGACATGGGACCATGTAGCACACCCATATGAAGTTGCATGAGTTTACGTGACGCTTTACGAAGGCTTAGAAGTTGTCGTCATTCGTCGGCAATTCTGACAAGTAAGATTACTCAGAGTTGCGACACTCCATCACAGGCGCATCATCATCATTTTCTTTGGAGGTTTTGCTCCCCTTCAGGAAACTAGTAGGTCCAGCATGCAGTCAGTGGTTAAGCGTGTCGTTGTTCATTGTCCAAGTTCACTTACGGTAACGTCATCCGCTCAGCCACCGCCTGCTAGTGTTGCCCCGCACTTGAATTTCCACGTCAACCCATAAGCTGAAGCTCACTGAACAGGAGGAAGTAGCAAAGAAAAGACACAGATTCTTCCCAACCTGCTCGTAATCACAGACTCCTACACTACTCCTACTCGCACTCTACGGACACAATCGGATGCCTACAAAGAAAAAAGGGACACAGTCTCACAAACCTGCTATGATTGCGGACTCGGACACCTACTCGTGCTTCTGATCTATCATGGTGGACATCATGCTCTGGCTGGCTATGAAGCAAACAGACTGCAAGTCACCCTATCTCATTAGATTTTCCTTGGGTGCAATGCCTCCCAGCATTCGCAGGCAGCATGCCAAGGCAATGATACCCTTGATGTGCATGGGCAGTCCCAAGCAGGCCCAGCAAAAGGCGCCAAGGCTAGAGTCACTCTATCTCACTAGTTCTTCTGTGGTGCAATGTCCCCCAAGCACTCTCAGGCAGCATGCCAAGGCAGCGAAGCCCTCGATGCACAGGGGTAGTCCCAAACAAGCCCAGCAAAAGGCGGCAAGCTTATGCGCGCGAGAAAAAAAACGCTGAGCCTTAGATTGAATAAGAATACCAGGGCATCTGCTGACACATCCTCCTGGGGTTGTTCGTTGGGAGACGAGGAACTGTGTTGGGACCATGATGCATCATCCATACTAGCATGTTAAGCTAGCTACATGGCATACGCCAATGTAGTGATGATTACGCGACACTCGCAACATCTGCAAGGCGGTCCAAGACCCTCCTCGTCCCGGTCAACATCCCAACATCCTCGTAAGCAAGGTCATGCTTCTCGCACAAGGCCTTCACTTTGCCCGCGATCTTCCCGAGATTGTGTCGCGGCAGGGTTGGAAAAAGATGGTGCTCGATTTGTCGATTCAACCCTCCCGTGAACCAATCGTTGAACAGGTTCGACTGAATATCCCTTGTGGAGACAACCTGCGCACTCACAAAGTCTTTTGTGTCGTTGTAGACTTCCATTCCATTGTGGCTCTGCACAAAGACAATGCCGAGGAGAAGTCCGCAGAGCAACTCAGAAAGTAAGATCCAGGAGATGGCGCTGACAGGCGGAAGGCTTAGGAAGGCAGCGCCCGACAGCCACGCATAGTGCAAGAGCAACAAACCGCCTTCCACAAGGCGAACTTGCGCGGGCAACTGACTGTTCTGCCCCCATATGACACTCTGGTAACACCAACTCAGACGGGCGAACAAGAGAATAGGGAAGAACATGTAGCATTGGATGCGCACAAGAAATCGGTGCCAGCCATCTTTGTCAATCTGCGACAGCATGTCACGACTCCATGCAAGTAAAGGGAGGGTGTCGATGTCGGGGTCCACTGCACGGAAATCCGTGTCACACTCATTGGGAGCAGCATGGTGCGTGTTGTGTTTGCTCCTCCACCAGCCGTTGCTAAAGCCTTGCACGACATTGCCAAGTAAGTAGCCCATCGCAGAGTTCATCCATCTCGCTTCAAAGACCTGGTGATGAAGGAAGTCGTGTGCGAGCCATCCAGACTGCTGCCAGAACATTGCCATCAGGAAAGCAGAAACCCAGAAACCAACGAGCGAGGAGCTAGCGTATGATAGAAGAACAGTCAGACTCATCGCTCCAATCAGCCACACAGAGAGAGTTTTGAAAAAGTAGTAGGTTTTGCTGCTCTCGAACATCTTATCTCTCAACAAGCCAGCTCTCATCTCTCGGAAGTCATTCAGCAATTCCGGAGTCGGATTCTCGTCGACAAGTTCCCCAATGTAAAACTGGCGGACCAATTTCCACGTACTGGCGGCGTGAAACGCAGAGAACACATCCGTCGCATCCCGACCAGCATACGTGTAAATGACAGAACCTCCCGGGTGTCGCTTTCCAAAGGCGCTGACGTCATACACTTTACCCTTTATTACAATCCAGCAATCGTCTCGATTGTTATGCTGCTCCACATCCCTCAAGCTGTACGTTCTCTGCTGCGCCTCATGCCCCAGCCCAGTCCTCTGTTTCAGCATTTTGCCTCCGACGACATCATGACTGATGACTCTGCTCGCACTCTGTAGAGGCGGTTTCTCCGAGGGCTGGAAACTAGGATTCCCGACAGCAAAGGCATCTGTCAACGGAGACCCTATTGTGCTGCCGTACTCAGCTGCTGAACGAACAGCGCTGCTATGAAGTTTGGAGTCATCGGGAGTTGTTGTCTCAGCGGAGCACGTCGGCGACTTGCAACGCCACACCTGCCAGACGTAGTTGAGAGCCTCCAAGAGAAGGCCACCCCTCCCGATCTCCTCCATCACAACTGCACAAGAACGCACATGCGCAAACCAAATGCCGATTCCGAACAAATCAATCAAATGCATCCTGGACACGCGCTCCAAGATCGACCGCTGGATGAGTCAGTGAACACCTGATGACACTACCTTGTCACAATCTATCCTTCCCATCTTTCCCTCTCCCTCCTCCTCCCCCTCGCACTCCTTCTCCCTCCACCCATCCCCTCCACCCAGCAAAAGGGGGGAAAAGCACAAAACAAATGTACCTTTTTGGTTTCCAGCAGGGCCGAGCAGGTGTAGCTCCGCACCGATGGATTGGAGCCATCACTCCTGTTAGGCCTCAATCCTGGTGGTTCTCTCTTTTTTTGTTTTTTCGAAGAATCATCGGCCGAAAGGTGTGGCAGGTGGGGCGGGGGGGAGGTGCCGGTAGGAGCGGACACCCCCTCCACTGGTCCTTAGCTTTTTGATGGCGCAGTTCCATTGGTGCGGAGCTGCACCTGCTGGAAACCGGGTCCGGCATCCCTTAAACCACCACCAGCATAGAGGCTCGGCTCACAAACAAAAAAAAAAAAAAACGAAAGACCTCTGGAAGGGACTTACAGGAGGATCCTCGGGAGGAAATGGTAAGGGACTATCAGTTGATCTTCCATGACTGGATCAAGATAGACCCAGGTAACCCGCTACGACCAGCCCAGGACTTCACAGACCTCTTCCCCAGGACTTCACAGACCTCTTCCCCCCTCACCCGTTGTCCCTGGAGGAAATACTGTTACCATCATGAGCTGGGATACCGGAGGCCGGATGAAAAGCGCTTAGCAGG